TTTTGAGGAGAGCAGAAGAAAAATGGTGAGAAATGGCAGTACAGGAAGAGGTCTTGCGGCCTGAACAGCCTGAACCCCCTCCATAGTGGCAAGAGGATGCCTGAGTTTCAGCAGGCGAAGTAAGCAACTCCCTTCAAGATAAGATAGGCAGGAGCCTTCGTGAGGGACTCCATCTGTGAGTGCTATTTGCCACCTGGAGGACTAGGGAATGCTCAGATGTGTTAAGTCATGGACGTGTGCAGAAGGAAGACCTCTGAAAGACACGTTAAAGAACTTACAACCTTGACCCTCACGAGCCAGTCGGTCTTTGGGTATCTGCGATCAACAGTCAAGAGAGAGGTAGAACTATAAGCAGGTAAATAAAGAAAAATTTCCTCTTTCCCCTTATCTTCTCCCTTGTCATTCCCTTTAGCTGTAAGGGGTATAGAAGCAGGAGGTGGTGTCAGGATGGACATTGAACAAAACTAGACTGAACTTTGAAGACTTTAAAGGTAAAGTTCTGGGATCTGCCCAATATGTCATTAAGAGTCATGTGAAAGAATTAACAGCGTTTGTTTGAAAAACAAAACACAAAGTAATATTTCATGCTTGTACCCCAACAACTTCATATGACTTCCTAAGTCAATTGTATTGTTTCCATTGCCTTCTCTTTACTGATAGTTATCTTTTAATAGTTATTTACATTTTACCATATTTACCTTTTATCATATTTACATCTTAACGGCAATTTCAGGATCCATTCCTTTAGACAAAATACAAAAAAAAAATTGTATGAAATTTAAGATTTGGTCAACATGAATGCCTCCCCCAAACGAAGGAAAATGTCTTCTTGCTCATCTTTGCATCCCCAGTATCTAGTACACTGCCTAGAACAGTGTAGTCACTCAATAAATGTTTGTGAATTAAGCCAACCTACTGGTTGATATTTGAAGAAGCTTCGAAGAGCTGAAGGACACCATTTTTCTTCTTTTCTTGTCTCAGTTTTCCATTATGACCATTGACTAGAAAGACAACTCTTGGACGACAGCCTTGTCTAGGTTTATTTATTTCCTTTTGCACTTAAAATTAATTTAGCATTTACAGATCCTTAAAGGAAAGCATTTTCCCACTGTTTAGTTACAAGCTATATTCAACAATACACAGATCAAATCTCTAAGAGGTCAAGAATACAAAATAGAATTAAGTATTTTTTGTGTGTGTGAAAAAGAAAGAGAGCGTGAGCAGGGGAAAGGGGGAGAGAGAGAGAGAAAGAGAGAGAGAGAGAGAGAGAGAGAGAGAGAGAGAGAATCTTAAGAAGGCTCCATGCCTGGTGTGGAACCCAACACGGGGATCTATCTCATGATCATGAGATCATGACCTGAGCTGAAATCAAGAGTCTAATGCTTAGCTGACTGAGGCACCCCCAAATTAAATACTTTTGAGTGTCTCTTATGAATTTGGCATGGGCTAAGTACTTGAAAGAAGCAGTAGTTGTTTAAAGTTGGTATACGCTCTTAAGAAACTTACACTCTAGTTGGAGGCTAGAATATAAACACTATTAATAGTGGTTCAAGATCCTAGAAAGAGACAGGGGAGATGAATAGCATTCCAGGTGGGGACAAGCATTTTAGTATCGAGATTTGGAGCATAGGCTCTGAAACCACATTGCCTGAATTTTAATCCCAACTGTACCTTATTGGTGACCTTTAGCAAGTTACTTCAGCTGTTTGTGCCTCTCATACTTAAAATGTGGATTAAATGAATTTAGCACCTGACCTATAAGTAAGGGCTTATTATAGTGATGATTGTACAAAAACTTGGAGTTGGGTCTTTGAGGGACTCCAAAAATTGATGGGAGCAATTCCTATATTAGAATAGTGGGAGAAAGTTCAGGAAAAAAAGGGTTAGGGACAGATGAAGGGGGCCACTGATTGCCAAAACATTTGAACTTCATTCAGTAGTAGAGAGCCACTGAACTTTTTAAATTGCTGAGTGGCACTCTAAAAACAATGTTTTAAAACACTCTAAACTGGCTACGCAGAATGGTTTGGGATAGGACAAGTAAAAGACCGAGAGAATATACTACTAATAATAGCTGACTTTTATTAGATGCTTTCCACGACCTTTGTAATGCCAGAAATATTATTTACAAATATTATTACGTTCCAAGTACTGTGCTGAACAGTTTATATGGGATATCTGTTATAGACTGAACTGTGTGCCCCCCAAAATTCAAATGTTGAAGCCCTAACTTCCAGTGTGACTGTATTTGAAGACAGAACCGCTAAAGAGATCTCTGAGGTTAAATGAGGACACAACTACAATCGAATGAAGTTAAAAGGGAGGGACCCTAATGCAATAGGATTGGTGTCCTTAAAAGAAGAGAAGGAGATACTAGGGGTGTGGGTGCACACAGGAAAGACTACATGAGGACACAATGAGAAGGCCACCATCTGCAAACTAAGCCCTTAGGATAAACTGACCTTGCTATTACCTTGGACTTGGATTTCTAGCCTCCAAAACTATGAGAAATCAAGTTCTTGTTCTTTGAGCCACCCAATCTATGGTATTTAGTTATGGCAACACTAGCTGGCTTAGACAATGGCTCCTTTGACTCTTTTTTTTTTTTAATGTTTTTACTTTATCTTAGAGAGAGAGAAAGAGAGAGAGCATGAGAAGGGGAGGGGCAGAGAGAGAGGGAGACACAGAATCTGAGGCAGGCTCCAGGCTCTGAGCGCTCGGCACAGAACCCCAACCGGGTCTCGAACCCACAAACTGTGAGATCATGACCTGAGCTGAAGCCGGTCGCTTAACCTGCTGAGCCACCCTGACTCTTAAAACAGCCAGATTGGATAATACTGTACTCTGATGATTGTAGTGTTAGCCATAAAGAAACGAGGCTCAGAGACCTTAAAATGAATTGCTTAAGACAGCTAATAAGTGTCAGTAAGCAGAATTTATATTCAAGCTGTCTGGCAACAAATATCATAGTTCAGTTGGAAACTGAAAAATGAAAGGATTTAATACACAAATGGAGAAAACACGAGTTGGTGTCTGACTAGATTCAGGCTAAAAAAAAAATGTTATCACCAGATGACTGAGATTTTAAGCCTTGGGGTCCACCCGAGGTAAATGACCAGCTTGTTTGTGTGTGATGTGCAAAGCATAGTTTGTATAAATATTGTGGAAAGGTTGTTCAGAAGGAAGTTAACTGTGGCTGAAACTCTTAGAGAATGATGGTTGACTTGGGTAAAATGAGTGAAAAGATACGGTGCTACTAGGGAGAAACACAGCATTAAAGTAAAAGGACATGTGGGGGTAAAGGAGGGGAAAATTTAGGTATGAATTATGAGGCCAGATCACATTTCATCGGTTTTAACCGTTATTGATTATAACAGTGCCTGACTTTTAGAAAAGACAACTACAGGAAAGAACAGTAGGGAAGCGTCAGATTTTATAGTTGGAAGGAAGGAGCTTTTTCTTTTTCTTAACAAGAGCAGTAAGAGAGACAATTTTCGTTGTCGCCTGACTGGGCTTTCCCATTCTTCTTTTAGAAAGGCCTGTTAGCTAGCTCCAATTCCAATTAAACAGATAAAAACGTGGGTACTAAAGCAAAAGATTTGGTATCTGATCTCCCACTGCTGTGTGTGTGTATGTGTGTGTCTGGAAACAATAAAATACACAACTGCAGGATTATTAAATCCATAAGAGCTGACTACAGAGGATAGTCCTTTAGGTAATCTGAATAAAACGAGTAGGCCTGAATACAATCGTTGGTCGTTGACCTTCCTTGCTTTAGGGAGCTAGCTAGCTCTTTCATGCACTGAGGGAGCCAGCAGAGACTCCGCTGCCTTCAGAGGATGACACTACCATCATTCTCAAGGATTAGCGCTAGGAAATCTCTATTACATCTCTGCCAAGAACACTAACTGATCCGCAATGCGCCTGCCCAAACCGCAGCAGCCAAGCTCCGCAGACACCCCACAACAGCAAAAAGAGCTGCAAGAGGAAATCCGAACCCGCGGCAGAAACCAAGGGCGCGGGGAGCTAAACGTTTTAGCCACCACAACTGCCTCGCTAGACTACAAATCCCGGCATCCGCTCCTCTCACGGAAGCCAATGAGGAAGCTACAAGTTCCTTCAGCCAATCACATCCTGACTCAGTGTAACAACCCCGACTGCATTCTGGGATTTGTGGTTTTCACGTGGCAACACTATTCCCCCGTGGTGGAGGCGAAGTAGGCCACGCGTCCGATTCGAAATGAAAGCTCCTTTTAATAATTCTTATGTTGGTTGCCACGCTGCACCTTAATTATCAGTACTCTATGGCCTTATACTCCTTAAGAATCGTAAACCTTCCCCAGTACTGTCGTACAGGAAAAAAAAAAAAATCAAGCTATTCTCCGATTACAGCATGCTCTTCCCCCTCACCCCCCCGTCCTTTAACCGTCGCTTTCAAGTCTCGCGAGAACAGCCCCTTTTGGTCGTTGTCATGCTTTCTGAAAGGCGGGTCACGCGAAGACTGACGGAGTCTTCAGCCAACAGGATTGCCTTTTAACTAGCGTCCCTACAGCGTGCGTGGGGAGACCTTCGTGAACCCTGACCTCAGTTCTCCGTGGCGTCCCGCGTTCGCCGCCCCCGCCCCTGGAGCGAAGGAGGCGGGTTTTGGCCTCTTGCCCTAGGGAGCGAGTGCGGAGAGAGTGGGAGCGAGACGGATCCGAGTAGAGGCGTCTAGCTCCCCGGAGAGGCCCTGCTGTATTCCTCGCTGCCCATGAGCTCGTTCTCCTGCGAGCAGCGCCGTCGTTAGGCCGGCCCCGAAGCCTCTGCTTCCTCCGGGACAGGCCCGCTCCTCGCCGAGGAGGAGGCAGCCTGTCGAGGCGCCTCCCTAGTCCGCGTCGGCGTCGCTCTGCGACCCTGGAAGCGGGAGCCGCCGCAAGCGAGAGGAGGAGCCCCAGCTACAGCGGCGCCGGCAGCGGGCAGCAGCACCAGCAACGCCAGCGGGCGGGATCGAGGCCGTCAACATGGCGAGCGCCTCGTACCACATTTCCAATTTGCTGGAAAAAATGACATCCAGCGACAAGGACTTCAGGTGAGGCCGAAATCCGACCCTGCGCCCACCTTGGGGTGCCCCATCCGCGGCCCTGGCCCTCACACAGGCCTTGCCCCACCCCTTTGGCCTTGGCGGGTCCCTCTGCCTTCCCGAGGTCTCCGGCCCACCACCCCGCTCCCCGCTCCCGCAGGCTCCTGTGCGCTCCCACCTTCCAGCCCCCTCCCCCCATTCTTTACTCTAGGCGGTTGCCCGCCGCTGGTCTGAGGCCCCTTCTGCGTCCCCAGACGCCGCCACTGCATTCCCTGCCCCCACCCCCAATCCCGAGACATGATTCTCGCGTCCCAGGTGGCGTGAAGGGGCAAAATCACCCGCCGTTGTGGGGAAGGGAGTTGCTCTAGGCTTGGGGACCGGGAGGCCGGGCCTACCGGCCCGCCCGCCTCAGGCACTAGGCCGCCCTGCTCGCTGGGGCTCTGGCTGCTGCCCACTCCGGGCCCCAGGTGCCGCCTCTTTTCCCGCAGCTGGGAGTGGGCCTAGGTGCATTCAGCTTCAATGATGTGCTTGTTTTGGGGTGGCTGTTCCTGGATTAGGTTATAAACTTTTTCTTTGGACCATTCCTTTCGGGAAGGTGGGAAGAAGGGGGTGGGGTGGAGGGGAGCCAGGCTGGGGAAACTTGACTCGCAGGGTTTTCCCGCCAGCGTCTCTTGTCATTTTTCCTTGTCAGGTAAAAACTAAGCAGGAATTGGGGATTCCAGTCTCATTTGCTTATATCCAGAATTACTGCCAGAAAGGTGAATTCCTGAACCTTAAACAGAAGAGTAAAATGAGCAAATGGATCTTACTGATAGAAGTTTTCAAATACGAGGGTGGTGAATATGAAGCCTCATTTATTAGCAGTTCTGTTCCAGAAGACTTGTACAACCGTTTCCAAACCTTGTAGCATGCATATTGAAGAAATATTATATTTTCACGGGTTATCTTGGTTTCTCTCTCTCTCTCTCTCTCTCTTTTATTTTTATTTTTTGCATTACAGTAATTGTTGGATTTCTTCCTTCCTACCTCCTATCCTTACTTATCACAGAATAAATAAGCTCCTGGTCTAAAACAAGCTTTATATTTCTTTGATACCTGTTTTGTTCTCTAAGGCTCGTTGATTGTGTTTTGTGTGCATTTTAAAGAAAAGAACAGATAGTCTTCTATTAAAATCGTGGCTGAAATCAAAGTCTTAAGGCTATAAGTTATAAGTCTACACAAGTTTTATGTAGATATGAACAGTACCCTTTAACACCTGAAAGCCCATCCAGACCTTACCTGCCAGGAAGAAATTTCCCCATTTGTGAAAAGAGAACCATGAAAAATGTAATGATCACGTTCCTAATTAAATTGATGTGCTGGCGTATTCAGATGGCCAGTGAAATACAGTTCTGGTTCTGTGACTTCAAAGCCAGAAATGAATTTTTTAAAGTTTTGCTACCTAGGGAGTTAAGTATTGCATTTGAAACTTTTTAAACCTGGTTTGCTAATACCGAAGATTTTAGTGTTGTGACTTTTTGGAAGAGACGTGTTTGTTTTGGGTAGTGTAGATCAAAATCAAGATTATTGGAGAAAATAAAAGTTTTTTTTTTTGCTTTTTTTAGAGTTAGAATTCTGTTTACTTCCCTTTGGACCTTTGCTTGCTCCCAGTGCAAGACACTGAAATTGAAATACATATTTGGGTGATATGTACACACACACATTTAAGTGTGTGTGTGTGTGTGTATTCATACTTACGGCCGTGTAGAGTGTGTGGTGAGATTTGCCCCCTTCCCATTTCTGTCAGTTTGGCTCATTCTGTAAAAGTACTCAATATCATTCTGATTGTATGCAATTTCATACTAGAGGTAGGTAGCACTTTCCTATAATGGCACTGTTT